CGCGGGAGTGAGAGCCTGAGTAAGGAAGAAAGAAAAAGAGAGGGAGATAGCTAGAAAGAAAGAGAAGGGTTACATCAGATCACCGAGACACGCTGCACGTTTCACAGCCGAGACGACAGAGCGATCGAGAACGGATCTCCGGTGGGTACGAATGGGCCGCGGCGAACGTCGACGACGACGACGAGTTGGAGGCCGACAAATGGGTGTACAGATCCAGCTGGGCAACACGAAGCTGGCCCGATTCGATACGAGAGACCATGGCGTATGTGCACGAGCCGAGCCGGACCGCCACGGCACGAACCGGTGCGAAGGAAACCTTCGACGTCGCGAGAGAGTGTGTGAGAGAGACCAGAACGGGGCCCAATCTCACTAGAGGGGACCTCTATAGCGCCTTTCCCCTAACTCCAACGCCACCGTGCTCCGCTCGCGCGTGCAATTGTGCACACAATCTTCGTTGCGTTTTCTCAAATACGTTACATGTTCATTTTCCTATGTTATGTGTATTCGAGATTGTTTTCTTCGAAATATCCTTGTGATATATTAAATTTATTATTTGTGTTAATTTGTTTAAGAGGCAATCCCTTTTGAAAGGTGAATCAGGTGTCATCGAGAGTTTTGGAATAAAAGTTGGTTGAATGGTAGATTTTGATGGATTTAGGAAGAATTATGTGAATGGAGTTTACAATACAAGGCCATTTAATGTATCCATGTGGATTTTATTCATTGTGAAATTTTTGGCGGGAACGTAATTAGATTCAAGCATAAATTATCGATGTAATACGTGGATTAATGTTAAGATGTTTTTACGTGTTTATTTTAATTTCGTTGTAATAGCGTTACCTGATCGATGATGGTAGAATGAGTTTGCATGGTGTCCAGAATAACAGAAGATGAAATAGGAGTGCGAAGTAACGCGAAATCATCGACACAAAAGGAGTTGACTATATCGCGTTTCCGATAACTGTGATAGCTTCGTACACGAATAAGTTCGCTGAACAGTATAAACATTCTTCCGTTTCAAAAACAGTGTCCATAGCAAGTATCTCCATTTGCATTACAAAACGAGGATCAATTTAGGATAACTTTATTAGTTATATTTTTTTTTTTTTTTTTAGTAAAAATTTATTTTGAAATAAGCTCGATTCTCCAAATTAATGCAAGAATATGCGTTTAATTTTAAATCCACTGTATGGCATTACAGTTTTTCTCGAAGAGTATTCAACGCGAAACGCAAAGTTGTTCCAACAACTTTTTGTTGATCCGATTCCTTTCCTGCAACGCGCACCGTGTTAACCCGCTTGAAAAGCGAAATACCAACGCACAAATTTAATTACGGTTCGGTGATTTATTTGGAGCGCCTTAACAGGACGTAAGTAACATTTTCCTGTGGAAACTTTGACTCTTTCGACTAAGGTTTGTACTAAACACTCCGTGCTACCAATTTGTAGACTTACTCATCTTTTTATATTCTTCTTTCATCAGTATCTTTTCACGCAAATTGTGTTTTAATTCTGCACGTAAGTAATATCTTATTATCAATCATACGTGCGAAATCTTTAGCTTTAAAGTACAGATAAATCACGACTGAATAATTAAAAATAATGGTAAAATTTGTTTTTCCTTCTTGTATCTTTTACTATAAATATTTTTTTAAACAGCAAACCCACTCTTCTTTTTGCTTAGAATTAATTTCTTCTTTTTAAAATAAAATTTTTCCAATGCAAAAATTACATTGGAAACATTAAGCGTTATTGCAAGATAGCGATTACCACTAGTTAGGTATTCAAATTGCAGACCCTCGGGCTCCTTTTTGCTTCTGTATTTCTACCAATTACAATGGAGTGATGCATTGACTTATTATGTCTTGATTCGCCCATTTTCCGTAAGCATAAGCAGTCACGTGCAGGTTGTTCATTGAAAATCTATTGGTGTTGCCTTTACTAGCTACGAGACTTACCATTCACGAGGTCGAGATATGCCATCAAGAATGGATACGGCGACAACGTTCTACGAGCTCCTTTTGACTGACACCTAAATTGAGAGCCATTTTAAAGCTAATTCACAGTTACGCGACGCTAAAATGAACTGTCACATTATAATTTCCGAGACAAACATTAATCTTCTTTTTGGCTTCTCGCTAGCATCGAAAGAACCAACCGAGTACTGGATCTGCAGATGTCTTCAAGGTCTCCCTCTCATGCCTTTATATCATCAAATGTTCGTACTAAATTATGTAATGTGCGAAGGAATCTATTAGGTTGTCCGAAAAGTTTCTTTCGTTTCATAAGGTGATAATAGATGTACAACAATTTCTGTTTTATATTATTTTATTGAATTAAGTATGCTCCATTTCATTATATCTCTATTATTATGTTCGTGCATAATTCAATAAACTAATATGAAACAAAAAACATTGTGCGTCTATTATTTCCTTATAAAACGAAAGAAACTTTTCGGACAACCTAATAAAATCGAAAGATTTATGATATTCATACACACAAGTTCTTTCATCAGTTTTTTTTTTTTGTAACATATGATTAAATATACATTAAAGAGGGAATTACTTATGTGTGGACATTGCTTTATTATAACTCGCTGGAATTGTCAAGGAACCAATAAGATGGCGAACTATCCTAGAAAATGATTGAGACAAATAGCCTAAGTGAGCAGGACAGAGAATTTTGATGGTCCAAGGGACTGAGAAGAGTTCCAGGTATTCATACTTACATATTTATAGCTTTTGGACTAGCCGGCTTCGCGAGTCTATGAAACGCATCTGTCGCTCTACGTTTACGTTGTTAAAACAGATAATACACAGTATATTTTTTGCATAAACTGTATGGCAACCTAACGATCTTCTTCCCTCGAGAGTAGCAATGAATGCAATATTCACGATCCCCTTAATACTAGATATGCCTACAATAAAGGACCGTTCTACGTAAGTACTTGCAGATCGAATGCCAACTATGAGATAAATTCTTCTCGCAGCAGTAGCTCTGATCAAATATGCCATTACTCCATATTATCCTGCAAACCAATTTTCTCCTTCCTTGAAGCAATCCCTTTACGATTTTTTTATTTTTAGTCGATGGTTGCTGTCGCTTTATTCTTTTTCTTTTCTATTTCTAATAATAGTTGAATTCAATCAAAAAGTACAATGTAAATAAAATTCAATGAAAAGAAGGTAATAACTTTTATCGAAATTATTGAATTATATTGATACAATTGAATTACGATGTTTTATTACGCAATCAAAATACGAAGACTATGATCATCTCGTTGTCCCGAGGAGAATACCTCATTCGTTACGCAATGTGCTATCGTGTTCGATGACTATAGGAATTTAAGAGGCTCGCGTGAATTCTACAACGTTCTATTCAATTGTGAGTCTCCTGACATTCCGTATTAGCGTCTGATGGAAGGATCCATCAAACACGTATCATTTAAAATAACAAACGTTCTGTTGTTTACAATTGCGCCATTTAAATAGAATGAATTATGTATTTTGATAAGCATTTGTACTGTTGTTTTAACTGTCAGAAATTAGTTTGCGAAACAGATCTCGCAATCCATGTCCTTTGAACATTGTTATTGCATCTACAACTCCATTGTTTCATGCGTTTCGTTACTAATAGTATCAGCATGTAACAGATCAGGTGAAAGCTTCCTGTCGTTGTATTTAGACAACTTTATAGGACTTAACATTTAGCTTAGTCAAAGGCTATCGGTTTTGTTTTGTGACTGCATTATCAGATCTTATCTGGTTTCAGTCAGCTTATTTGCATTTGCGGTACCAAAATGGCTGCTTCCCGCGGAAACCGCAAGCAAGTAATTCGAAACCATTGAACTACATTTTCCACGGGTTAATCACCGACAACGTTCGATAGTTGATAATATGCATACATTAATTACGATATTTTTATCCTTGCGTCACCAAGCTACGCTTTACTAAACGTCATTGCTTACTATCAACAGTTGTAAAACAAGTAATTCTATTTATTTTTTGATGTAAAAAAACTTCGCGTAATTCATGAGAAACACATTATCAAATTTTCCAAACTACAATCTCTATCATATTATTTCATCTGTTTTATTAAAATATATTTGTAATGTTGAAACTGTATTGTAATAAATGTCTTATTTAAAGTTTGCAAATATAATTATTGCGTATTTTAGTAAATAAATTAGTTTTTGAAAATGTGCAATGTTGTGATAAAATTCTATTTTATATTATATATAATAAATTAAAGCAATTCAATCTCTCCAATTGTAAAAGTTATTACTGAAGAAAACTGTCAGTTCATTATAGATACATTAAAATAAAAAAAATTTTTCGGCCTTTGATAAATAAACCTTTGATAAATAAATAAATAATAGTCATACTCTAATTGTATATATCCGATACTTTTGTACTGAAATTTGAACATTACTTACAAGAGCTGAGACAATACATTTTATCAGGTTACGTTCGAATATTGAGGGAACCGCCATAGCAATCCTGCAGCAAAGTGGAGGGGAAGTAAACGCTGACACGACGCCATTAACAGTACACTTACTGACGTGTGCGTGGCATTGTTTGTTAGCAGTGAAACATTCCAAATGGTTAAAATATTTGAAATCTGGTAACCGGTGACTACCTATTATAATAAGGATTTAATTTAATAAAGCTATTTTATTTATAAACGTAAGTAAACTTGAAAATGACGTACCTTTGAAGGTGTATCTGATAACCAATCACGTGGAGTAGGAGATAAAGTAAATGATTCATAAAACATTACATCAAAATATCAAAATACGAACTCCAGTTTCACATTTGTATGATTATAAAACTAGCAGTTTTTTCTTAATTATATTCTCGTTCAAGATTTTGATGTTATACTTTCGTATGTATAGATAAAATTTTCATTCGTAACAATGGTGTTCAACATTAATGATTTTGATACCTTTTTCTTACACGCTTCAAAATATATTAATATGTTACTTAAATTGGAAGTTTAAATTTCAAAATGGCATTCAGAAATGGATAAAAAGTAACACTTTCATTGAATTCGTTCGCTAGTATTTTCTAGTTTATGGAATTTGTATGTTGGTAGACCTTTTACGTGTTGACGCCCAAACCTTGAATCTTGAATACACTAACAAGTGGGTGGTGTTTATTAATCGAATCATCTGCGTTCTCTAGTTAATGGACGCTATTATAATTATTACACGTAAATTTTTATTTTGACAGAATCATGACCATATTGGAATCTTGCTGGTCACCATTTATTTGGACCAATAATATCAAGACAGGATGCAAAGCTATTGCTTTTTATACAATTGTATGTATTTTGAATTTAATATAACTGTTTCACTATATTTAGTTTTATATAATTTCAAACTGCTTATCTTTTGTTGTAGGCAATTAGTATAATATGCATTACATTGATATGTTATCAATTAAATGGAGGCGATTCATCTCAATTGTATAATCCTCTGTTTGAGGCTGATATTAGAGGATGTAAGTAATGTAATTGTGTATTGGTAATATATATCAGTTACTCCATTATATTTACGCATATATATATATATATATATA